CCCCGGGCTGGGGCTGGGCCGCAAGGAGCCGCCCCTGAGGCGAAGCTTCTGCGGGAGTAGCGGGGCTTAAAACCAGCCCTCGGTATTCGTGGAGTGTCGCTGCCCCGCAGCCTTCTCGTGGTGACACTAATAAAATCCTAAATCCCGCATTATTCTCGGCAGAGCCAGTTGTTCAGGGCGATTAGGGGTTAGGTTTGTGTCTGGGTCGCCCCCTCTGTCAGTCCGCACCCCCCATTAGCGCACGCACCCTTCCCTTCCTTTCTAGAACAGCCTTATTTCGCGTGCAAGCAACACAGCGAGCGCAGCTAGACTTGTTCATGGGCAAGCGTTATCAGCGGGATGTAAACAGGCGTGCACAGTTGTTGGATTTTTTTTTTTTTAACTGCCATTGTGTGCTGTCTGCACCTTACCCAGCAATAAAAACAACGCTAAGCATGTGCTTTGCTCCTCCTCCTACTTGGTGACTTGGACTCCGTGATGAAAAGACGTGCAGATGTGGTGTGTAGGGACACGGTTTAGTGTTGGACTTGGCAGGGCTAGGTTTCACGATTGGACTTGATGATCTTAAAGGTCTTTTCCGACCTAAACGATTCTGTGATTATGGTTGAACGCGACTAGTACTGCGAGCAAGATAGCGTGGGTTGCGCCCAGATGCGGAGTTCAGAAACCAGCCGTTACAATGGGTTGAGAGATTTACTTGGAAAATCTTAAGGAGTTAAGCATCCCGATTTCATACATCTTTTTGTCCTGGTAGGGGCGTTTTGGGTTGGTTGGTTGGTTTGTTTGTCTTTTTTGTTGGGGGTTGTTTGGGGTTTTTTGGTTGTTTCTTTTTTCCCCCTTTCTGTCAAGATCTTAGATTTTTAAAGCAAAGTTATAGCAGCAATTTGTAAAAACTGACCAGTGATAAGTGTATCCTGAGCATGCCAGAGAGAGTTAAAAGCAAGATTGACGGTTCAAGTGTTGTAAGAAGTGATAAGCAATCAATCATTGTTTTAAAAATAGGTTGTACCTATACAGTAATATGCTAGCGTGGAGTTTTGCATCAGTATCTTCCTCATTGAAAAGTTATTTCTGTTGGCCTTGGATTTAAAATGGTTAGATCTTTAGACTGTCATACATAAAACGAAGTGCCTAAATGCATTTGCCTGTTCCTATATTAAATTTGCAGAAAGGTTTACTCTCTTACGTGGCCTTATTTTTTTTTTAATAACTGCATTTTAGATGACTCTGCAAACTTCTGTAGGCAAATCTGCATTATTTCAGTTTTCAATTTGTTTTATTGTTAGGCATGTTAAGAGGTTGACACCAATTACATTTTTAAAAAGCTGTTCCAATACTTGAAATTATGAAACAAAATGACAAAAATTAGATAAATTAATTAGAAATTAGATGACAAAACAGTCATCTAATTCTTAAAATGCTATTTTTTTTTTTTTAGTCTTGAGCTTAGACTTTTTTTTTCCTCTTTGGAAAAAGGAGGGAAGGAAGGAAGGTTAGTCTTGAGCTTAGACTTTTTTTTTCCTCTTTGGAAAAAGTTACGGAAGGAAATACTTTAGCAAACTTATGATTACTCTCTCTTTTCAATTACAGGAGCATCCAAGATGTCAGTAACAAAAAAAGTTGTCTGGAAATGTCTTTTTCCATCCCCTACTTTGCAAGCCATGGCAGTTAGAACACATGGCATCTTATTTTCTTGGAAGACTGTGGCCTGAAATTCATCATCAGTATAGCTCTAGTGATGGCCGTATTGTCTCTTTTCTTCACTGGCTGTCTATAAAAACTTGGGATAGTACCCCACAACTTCAAGAGTGGGCTTTGATCTAACCAGCATATATTAACTACTTAGAACTCATCAAAGTTAGCTCAGAGGTGCAACTTTTAAGTTGGCTGTTGATGACCTGATCCACTTCCATCAGCCATGTCTCAGAGTTTATTTTTCCAGCTGAAAAATTCATACGGTTTTGTCAGTGGAAACCACCCCTGGTCTTCTCAAAAACAAACAAAAAAATTAGATCTGGTGCTCATGTCTTTGAAAAGATCAGTTATAGTAAATGTACTGTGTATGTGAATCAGCTCTACTGTACATGGACAATAGCCCCTATAATGGGATAAGGCAGAAAATCCAGAACTTGACCCCCTAATGCAGTGATAAAAGTAGCATACCTAACTGGAAAATGTATGCACATATGTTACCTTGTTAGTGAAAGATGAGGCAGGATCTCTGTAAAGGAAGACTTGGAGAGCCAAGTCAGTTACCTTGTGTAGTTTTTTACAGATTAACAAGAGATGGCTTTGGAAAGACTTAAAGACATCAAACGTGCTGTCTGAAATTTGGCAAGTGAAGAGCTTGTGTACGGTAATTGCTCATTATAACCCAATAGTTTGGAATATCTGTTTAGCCTAAAGTTTAAAGGAATATTGCATTTCACACTACAAATAATATTCTTGGACTATGCTTAGCAGTTATCTCAAGCACAAACATGACAGGTTTTCAGTGGATTTGCTAATCTAATTCTTGATTAGTTGTTTAATTGTTCAGTTTTCACTGTTGCAAAATCCAGTTCCTTCAACTTTCTGTTAGTTGCAGATGGTTCTAAGTTACTGCTCAGTTTTCTTTTTCTTCTGTACCAGTGAAGTTAGCGGCTCAGCAACAGAACTGTCTTTCGTGTGGAAAGTTTGTTTCGGCACAGGAGTTGTGTTTTGCAGAGCTGTGCAGAGCTGTGAATCACAGTACATAGGTCTCAGGAAGTAAGTAGAAATTTTTGCCGGTAGTGTTTTCATCTTACGATTGCCTTCAGGTGCCACTGGGATTAAAAATTGAAGTTGAAAAAACCCAAGAGACAAATTCTGTTCATCAGTCTTTCATGACAGTACATTCAGGTTTGTTTACATCATTTTATGAATAGCTTCAGATCTTAAGTGATAGCTTGCTTTTGTCATGTGAGTAGGTAGGATTAAAGTGTTTTAAGGATAGGTAAGGAGATGCTGGCTTTGAAAAAATAATCTGTGATGCATTGGATGGTAAACAGTCTAATTTTTTTTTCCTTGTATATCTAGTGTATTACACTTTGTTTTAAAAGAGACTTCTAAACTTTTACTCAGTTCCAGTACGTAGCAGGGAAGGTTACTTGTCCAGATCCCAAATGAACTAGGCATATGATAATCTTACATGTGTAATTGTACTTCAGTGTTAAACCAGAATGATTTCAGTGTTTATGGAGTCCACGGTTATCTTACAAGAAATCATGGGGGCTGGGGGATGTTTATACATATCAAGCCCACCCTGCCACCAGATTCTCTTAGGTTTTTAGAGACTAGAATTGAGTGTATTGTAGTTTAGTGTGAGGTCTGATTCCTAGTCCTTTAGGACATGATGTGCATCGCATTGAGGTTTTAAAAAATAAATGATCGCATGCTAAGTTCAGTTGTAAGCTGGCATGTACAAAAGAACACACCTTGATCAAAACCCAATGCTAGATTTATTTCAGATGTATGTAGTGGTGGGGTTTTTTTTCTCTTTAATATAAGGCAGAACTTGTGTAAGTGAGACCACTATGGAAGATGTATATGCTACTGAGAATGAGATAACATTTTGCCTCAGACTTGCTGAATTTAATATGATTTTGAAGGAAGTTCACTGACTCTTCGTAAACTTTTTTTGTGGGTTGAAACTTCCAGCCTGTTACTGGAAATCTTTCATAATCCCTATTTACTAGTTAGTTGGAAAAATGAAAGCACACCAATGTTCTGTTTTTAAGGATACTGATTTAAAATAGGTACATACTGAAATCACCTTTCTTTAAATAAATAAAAAGAAAATAAAGGTTCTTCCTGTCTGGGACTAAAAATGAATTGGCGAGATTCAACATCTGCAAGATGCAATGCCTGCAAACATGCGTACACTCATTATTTACTTTGTTGCCCGCCTTTTGCCTTCCACAGTTTCAAATGTTATTCCTGGTAAATAAGACTGGGGCAGCAATTTGAATGTCAGCATTCACAAAAGTGTTCAGAAGAGTATCTTTCCATTAGTAGGAGAGTAGAGTGATAATCAACAAAACAGTAAAGCAAATTAGGTTCAGAGTGTTCGCAAACACAAAAGTGAAATACTAAAGGAGAGTGACTGTCATAAATGGATTGGCACTGTTAATGATTAAAGAAGTCATATTGAAGATACCTATTTAGATGGTGATGTTATTTTTAGACTACAACTTCAAACTTGTTACTTGAGGTTTTTTTCCCTCAGGTAGGGGAGAAAAAAAACCCTGCAAAAGCATAGTTACAGAAAACAGGCTTTTTCACCTCCACAGTTTTCTATTAATATTGTTCTTTTCAGCTCTGTTACATTTACAAAACAGATAGATTTTTTTTTTTTTTCTTTTTAAATTCTCTTTATAGAATGAAACGAGGAAGGAAAACTACTGAGGCCAATAGCAGTTCATCTGAAGAGACAACCGGGAAAGAATCCAAGAGACACAAGGTTGTAGATGAGAAAACCATAGCTGTGCAGAGTCCTGACTGGGCGAACCTGCTTCAAGACATTATCCTGCAGGTGTTTCAGTACTTGCCCCTTCTGGATCGTGCTCATGCATCACAGGTCTGCCGAAGCTGGAACCAAGTGTTTCATATGCCTGATCTCTGGAGGTGTTTTGAGTTTGAACTGAATCAACCGGCTACGTCTTACTTAAGGGCTACGCATCCGGAACTAATCAAGCAAATAATAAAGAGGCATTCCAATCACCTGCAGTATGTAAGCTTCAAGGTAGTGCATTTTATAGGCTTTTCAAGAGTAATTTTATAAAAATAAAAACATCTGCTAAACTTAGTTCTTTTTTTTTCTTTTTTTTTTTTTTCCTTTTATTCATAATATTTTAAGGAAGTGTCTCTGATACTTTTGAGACAGTTTTGATGGTTCATCTATATAAATATCAAAGCATGAGAAGTAAGATTTAATGTCAATAATTGAAATACTGATGATAAGTGGTAATTGACAACTGTGATCAAAACTTTTTAACATGCTGAAAATTAAAGAACATCACTAAATGTTAGGAAAGGCTTATGATGTTATTTTTGTGATTAGGATTGTCAGTTATTTAAAAAGAAATATGGCAGCTCTCCATGTGGTAGGCCTTGTTTTCAGGTCTAGCATACTGAAGAAATCAGTTCTCTAAATGGGCATATAGACATGGTGGTTACCTCAGGACCAAAACCTGGAATAACAGTTCTGAACATACCTTTTCATTGCCTTAATTCCATTAGGTGGGGATTTTTTTGTTTGGTGTTTTGGTTTTTTGGGGGTTTTTGTTTTGTTTTGTTTTTTTCTTGTAGCATCTTAGCTGCTTAAAATTCTGCCTCAGTGAGTGGGCAGAAATACTTTAGATCTGATACTACTGTACGTGTGGGTACCTGCCTCAGAATTAAGTTTGAGCAGGATGCATAAATTGAGCATTTCCCCATTTCACATCCTGTAGGGAGCTGGATCTAATATTCATGGTTAGAAAACGTCTAATACACAGAGAGTAACTTCAGTACTACTAGTAAGCAACTAGCAGTTTTAGTATTAAATTGTGTGGGATTGTCCGTGTATGGCAGCTACTCAGCACAGCTTCAGCTAAGTGAAAAAGTACATGGGATTTGCACAGGATCTGCTACTGTCTACTGATTGTGCTTGGCTGAGAAATACCATTTGGAGAGAATTGGCTTTGTTAACATCATGGAATTATTTTCAGCAGATGAAAACCTTTAATACTGGCCTACATATCACTGTTTTGGAAGGGTGCTGTGAAACAGTCATGGCTTGCATATGCATCAGCTATGTGACAAATTTGGAAAGGAAATGACTTCTGCAGCAAGGTGGACATACTAGTTTGTTTCTGAGATCTGGCGGTTTTAACGTAGGAACCATCAGTGTGTGGGTAGCTGGGGCACCTCTGATCACGTGTATTGCTACTGCTTGATGCAATACCAGATACAAACTGTTATCGCAAGGTTTGCAGGGCTTTTATCAGTGTCCAACTAAAGAAAATTTATGGCAGTATTGGAATGACCTTCCAGTGTCTATCTCCTGTCTGCGCTGCTTTGCACCAAGTGTTTTTGAAGGATTTCAGATGCCCTTCACTGGTAGGATGATACCCACATCGTTTCTTGAATGTGTCCCTTCAGTTCTCCTTCAGTGTTGCAGAATGAACACTGGATTGCAGGAGACACTAAGTAGCAAGGATAATCACAAGGAAGTGGATATAACACTGGCTGTTACTCTGTCAAGGCTGAAAACTTGGGGGGTTTTTTTGTACGCAAAGAAAGATTTGATTGTTGAAAATTGAGGTTTTTCAGCTCGTGTTTGAGTGGAAGACGAACATTCACTGGGCTTAGATCAGTTGCTGACAAAGTAGCATGGCTTATGGTAGACTTAAAATTATCTTGTGATCAAGCTTTTTACTGTTCTATAGGTGTGCAACGTTGTCACACCTACTGTATGTAAGAGGTTATTCTGAACGCTCTCTGAGTGTTGGGGAAAATCCACTGGAGGCACATTAAGTGTTTTGGTTTGTGTAACAAGCTGACTAATGAGCACTTTTTTTTTTTTTTCAGAGTATCCATTGCATATCTGTTATGGTATTAATGATGAAGGCCCAGTCATGTAGGTTCAAATGATAAGGCACTTAACTCTCCAGCAGCTCTGTGCTATGAGCTGAGTCACCGTAAAAGGACGCAGCTTTCTCACACAGTAAAGGATTTACAGAATTCCCACATTTTGATAAGGAAGAATGTAAAGAGGAAGTGGGGTAGGCTCTGGAGCCACATGAACCTCCACTTGCTTATTATTTCATGTGGATTGAATATCTTGGAACAAACTGTTTAGCTGACCCCTCACCATGCTAAATTTTACCAAAGTGTTTAGGAGATAGCAAATTGTCTTGGATTTTTGGTATCTGCTTTTTGGGGAAAAAAGAATGACATTGATGGATTGCTAGTGAAGTGTTTAGTGGGTTTTTTTGACATCACATTTTGGAAGGTAAAGTGAAAAAAACATTAAAGTACATCTATTCTACTCTGCTTTTTTGTGAAGAGTGTGTTTGAGGCAGTGTTTTCTGAACAATAAATCTGTTTTGTTTTAAGGTGGACAGTAGCAAGGAATCTGCAGAAGCAGCTTGTGATATTTTATCACAGCTTGTGAATTGCTCTCTGAAAACCCTTGGGCTAATTTCAACTGCCCGGCCGAGCTTCATGGATTTACCAAAGGTATTTTAATATGTATATATTTCTATAGCAAAGTGTTGCAGTGGTTCGTACAGTATTTCTATAATTTTACGAAAAGTTTTATTGTAAAAATATAAATCTTTGATAGAGAAAACTTCATTATTGTGCTCTATTAAAGGGAGGAACTAAGGTGTTGTACTAAGATGGATAACTGTTTCGCTTACCTCTGCATCATGTGAGAACTTAGTCCTGACCTTGTTCTTCCAAGCCTTCCTGTCTGCTGACCTCAGTGTAATACTGGGCAATATGTTGCAAGTCAGGAGGCTAGACAATTCCTGTCTGTGGAATTGTACTGTGGGACTGTGGGGGATGTTTAGGAGATGATTATAATCGAATGAGTGGTAGAGTTTTATCCATATGGACTTGCTGTAGGGATTATATTATCTTTGAGCTCTCCTGAGGAAGTCATACGATCATGATTTTCAATATTTCATGTCACGCAGTCAGGTGTCAGATTCTTAGGCAAAGTGCGCTGTATTTCTGAAATTTTCTGCCAGATTTATACCTTGCGTGTTTACCAAAAATTAGGTTTTGTTAGAAGGTGTCTAATCTAGAAGACAACAAATCTCTTACATGTGCTTCTAAACAAGAATTCAGGCTAGTGAGGTAGAAATGTACCATTGCTGAGAAGCAGGAGAGCAGTTGGGGTAACCCAGGCTGCTTGTTCTATGGCAGGGGCATCTCGGATGTGTCACAGCCTCAGTTCTTGAATCCAGTCCACGCGTATGTGAAGGACCGGATACAACTAGACTATTAGCGGGATCTCAGTGATGTCATTGCTGATGATGGCAACAAGGACAAGGAAGAACTAGGGACAGCCTCAGGAAGGGAAGTAGGCTATAGGGTTTAAGCAAGGTTAGCTACAGAGGATTAACAATTATTATCCTTGGCAGTGATCGCAGCCACATCATGGAGTTCTCTTGAATATGTATCTTTAATCCTTAATTTTGAAAGAGGCTTTCCAGATCTTTAATTAGTTTTTGTATGGTTTTTTCCTTTTTTGATGTGCTTTGAGATGTGACTATAAGAAAACCTGAACGTAGTGGGAAAAAAATCCACAGTCTCAGTGTGTTAGTAATACTTGCCACATCATGGAGTTCTCTTGAATATGTATCTTTAATCCTTAATTTTGAAAGAGGCTTTCCAGATCTTTAATTAGTTTTTGTATGGTTTTTTCCTTTTTTGATGTGCTTTGAGATGTGACTATAAGAAAACCTGAACGTAGCGGGGAAAAAAATCCACAGTCTCAGTGTGTAATACTTTGTCCTTTCAGCTCTTGCGTATTGTTTTATTTCTTAATCTGAATGCTGGTTTACCTGTCTTACTTAATTTTCACTGGAGGGGTATGGTACAGTCCTGTTTAGCTTGCTGAATAATTATTTGTAGTCATTGATGCTATGGTCGTAGTCAGCTTCAAAGGTTCTAAAATACAGGCTTCCTTTTTTTGTTCCTAATAGGTTCACATGTGGCCTTTAAAAAAATACATGCAAAATGAGCCAGAATCAACTCTAGGCATAATTTGCCTTTTGATGTTTACCACTCCAATAATATTGTTACCAGTATATGGGACCAGCAATGATTTTCAAATTTTCTTAGACCATGAGTGAAGCTAAAGAACTGAATTGGACCATGAATAAGTTCTTGTGGGAAGCCACTAGTAACAGGCCCGTTGGTTGACAAGCAGGCAAAGATGAATGGATCTGAAAAATGGTATTTCCCCTTTTTTTTTTTTTTTTTTTTTTTTTTTTTTTAATCAGGCTGTATAGGAAGTCTGAACTACTTTGCATTATGTTCATCGGTGCTCTTCTGATTTCAAGTAATGTGACATCTGGCAAATACTTGTAAATCACATTTAGCATTGTGTTGACTGGTCTTTTCACTAAGCACATTTTGCATGAATCTTTTAAAGAATCATACTATAGGCTACCTAAATGGCAATATTGAAAAGACATTAGATCGCCAGCTTTTACATTTTGGGATATTGCCTGTCTTCCGTTGGCTCTTCGAACTACAGTTTCAAGTCACCTGTTTCTGTAAACATGGTTAACTTTCTTTTGCCTTTCTATTTAATGGCCTTCTTAGTGAAGCGAATTACATTCTAAATAAAAAAAAACCACAGTACTAACAGTTTCGGAATACAGAGTGGAAATATTATTAAAGCACCTTTTCTTCAGTATGTAACGTATAATCAGTGAATTGTCAGCATAGTTAGAAGTGGTCTCTAAAGTCAAAATGCCTGATGCTTCTGATTTGGACTTTCTGTTTCCGTTTGCATGAACTGACTTTGACAGTTTATGCTAATGTGAAAATACGAATGCGTGAGTTTTAGCAAAAACCACAAACACATCACATAAGAACGAGCAAATACTGTTGCCAGGCCTTCTTTCATATACCTGTATTCAGGATTCTATATGTGCATGTGGCTCAGAGTGAAACAGTATTGAAATCAAAGTAGCAGGTAATTTTATGGGATACTTAATGTAGTGCATGGAGGAAGTACTTTTTTTTGTCTGCTGTTCAGTCAGTCTTGTAAGAACTCACGAAGATAAGCTAATTATTCACTTCCTTCATACCACCAGTGATTTCTACAAGCACTGCTACATCTGCTCCTTAGTCTGCGTTTCTCAAGTTAAGGTGTCTTCACTGGTAAGTTGCAGTGGTTATGTGAAAATGCTGAGGAGCAACCTTGAGCACTGCACCTACATTATCTATGCTGTTTCACCAGTAATTAATTGATCACCTGCTCCTTGGCTCTGTTTGGACCACTCCAGTTAGCCTTGCAAGATAAATCCACTCAAACGCTAAATACTCTGTGTGGATGGTAGGCAGGCAGTGGCACCGTTTGGCTTTGGACACATCTTAACAGTACAGGGTTGCCACTCTTGGCTGTGTTTGGATCTCACCAATGCAGCACAACTCACCACGTGGGAATGCCTGTTCTAGAAGATGCTTCTTTTAGAGCGTGACTTGCAAGTTATCCTCAAAATCAGGGCTTCTAGGCTTTCTCTTTGCTCGTCGTCTTCCTATAAATTTGTGTAGTGGATTGTCCTGGGTCAGGTTCTTGGTTTATGTTTAATGTTAGATGTTCTGATTGCCAAACGCATAGACTGATAGCGAAAAGTTGTTATACTTCCTCTACTCAAAAATATGTCAGTTTTAGTATTAATTTTTAATTATGCAATATCGAAAGAATGCTTTTTCAGCGAATGCTGTCAATAAGTAAAAGAAAACTAGGACTGCTGTGTACAGTGTAAAACCACTGAGATTTTTATTTCAGATACTACTGTTTCATTTAAACTTTTTTCTTTTTTCCAGTCTCACTTTATTTCTGCACTGACAGTGGTGTTTGTAAACTCCAAATCCCTCTCTTCACTTAAGATTGACGATACACCAGTAGATGATCCATCTCTCAAAGTGCTCGTGGCTAACAACAGTGACACGCTCAAACTGTTGAAAATGAGCAGTTGTCCTCATGTTTCTCCAGCTGGTAAGCTACTGTGTTTTGGTTTGGGTTGGATTTTTTTGTTTTTTTAAATGTATGCATTAAATTCTGTCTGAAAACAGTAAACTCCTGAAAAAGTAGGGGTGGGGTGAGAGTGGGGATGAATGTGATATCTACAGCAGCTGTCACTGAATAAAATACTAATTCAACTGGTTGTCAATCCATCCATCCCACCACTTGCAGAGTGACTGCTGAGCTGATAATAAAATAGTGCGTGTCTGTTCTGGACAAATAACTAACTTGTGGAGCTTAAAAGAGTATGTGTTGACTTGATAGTGCACTACTTTGCAATGACTATTTAAAGTATTCCAGTATTATTAAGCTTTTTGGAACTTGAGTTCCGTGGTTCATTGTGTATGGGTTTTGAGTGTTGCAGTGTCATGGATTTTGAAGATGCTGGTGTAGTCATTCTGAAAGCAAGCAGTTTAATCTGGAGAATAAGCGCAGACAGCATCAACAAAGGGGAGGTGAGACTGAGCTGTGCAGAACTTCTTACCATTACCAAATGTACTTCATTAACACTAAGTGTGTTTGTAGCAAGAATGAAGTCAGCTTGTATCGGAATGAAAGCACTCAGATTGTTGAAGTTCACGGAATTAATGTTTGTGGAAGATTTATGCAGTGCACAACAAGTTTAAGATTGAGTCACAGCCCATCTACTTAACATTTACAGTTTTTCACTGAGAAATGGAAGAGGAATGATAAATGAAATGCTTGCAACTTAGTTAAATTCCTATTCTGAGGATAAGTAGAACTGCTGTAGTCACCATAACTTTCTTCATGAAAACATATTGCCACTGTAAATATTAGGTATATTATATGTAAAATTCACCAGCAGGACTCCTAATAGGTAGGGAAAATGATACTGTAGCAGGGGGCACATTGCTGTAGTGGTAACAAACAAATCGCAAACTTAATACCTTTTGCAGGTGTAGCTCCTGAACAAAACTTTGTGTTCAGTTTTGTATAAAGAAGTCCTGAAAATACAGGTTTGTTTTGCAGCATATTTACCAGCAAAATGTTCACCAGCGTGTTAACTGGAATGTTACTTCTGGAATGTTACTTCTTTCAAAGCTTCGTAATTGTAGATGGGGGGTTGTTTAAGTTAGCTCGAGTGCCTGTTTTTTCTGACTTATAATTTCGCTTGAGAATCCTTGCGTGTCTGAGAAGTACAGGATCCGTAGTGTGTCTGCCAAGAGGCTCCAGCAGTAGTTTGTAGCTAGGCGGAGACAGTAATTTCCTTGGACTTGGATCCAAGAGTAACTTGTCAGCACTAGCAGACTTTGCTGGCATGTGGCTAATCCTTGCTAAAAGGTTTTACAGAACATTGTACACTTGATAATTTGGGAGAGGGGCACAGGTTTACAAAGTTGTTTGACTCTTGTACTCTGATGTATGATCTATCTTGTACGATGTTTTAAATTGAAGGAACAATGGATATGAAATGGCAGCCCCTGTTTAAGGGGCAAGGAGCACAACTGCTATTGTCCTTCATTGAGTGGAGGTGAATAGAGTGGGATCAGATGCATTAGTGACAAAACCAGAGAGTGCTGAGCAAATGGCAGTAGGGTTTGATTGCTTAATTGGGGTATGGGTTGCCTTGAGACGGAGAAAAAAGCAGAACAAAAGAAAGGAGCTGGTATGTGTGTGGTTGGCTTCAGAGAAGGCAAGCTGCAAAAATGAGACTCTTGAAGGAAAATTAGAAACTTAGAGCACCGAGACTTACCTGGATTTATTTTCTAATGGGAATATTAAAATTAGCAGGCTGCTATAAATGTGGAAAAACTTTAACTGAACCAAAAAGGCCATGAGTTATGCAAAACTACTTACTTATAGATGCATTGAGAATGGTATAATGTGCAGCTGGGGGGAAACGTTCAGCACCAGATTAGTTCTTAAGAATTTTATTAGTGAAGGACAGAGAAGAGTAATGCAGGTAGTGCAAGAGAGACTCCGCTGCTGGGGGGATAAAGGAAACAGATTGATATCAAATTGTGAATTGCTTCCAAAGGATGCTCTAAATAATCCCTAAGTTACTGTACAAAGAGAGGCGTGTTTGGATTTGGGATGGGGAATACAGAGGCTGTGATGTATTTCTAATCTTCGTGAGCATATCTGAAGTTTCTTCTGCTTGCTGTTTCCCTCTGAACTTTAACTTGCATTACAACTGCAACAGTACCTTGTAAAACAAAATAACAGTTATTTTTAAAACCGCATTGATGTGCTGTTGTTTATTACCTGAAATATTAGCTATTGAAACAGACGGAGCTGAAAGCATTTCTGTAAAGGCGGTGTTTCTGCGCTGCTTTAGGGGTAGGAGGGTTGCTTCTCTTTGAAGTGGGGGAAGAGTGGATGTAGGGTGTGTCTGCATCGGCAGTTTAGTAGAGGGCTTTTTTTGATGCAAATCTGTGCTGCGTGGTATCGGAGCAATTTACTCCTGGGTGACACAAAGGTTTAGGCAGCACCTAGGGACGTTCTGTAAATGTACCACTTGCGGCACGGGCTCCAGGCAGGCCCGCCAGTAACTATCTACGCTCTATTAATTGTCAATTCTATATGCACAATAGATACATCATTTCCTTACCAGTATGCGATATGGATATCCAGTCCTAGACCCACAAAAAAACGCAGCAAGTTGAACCCCAGTTCTTCCCTTTTTGCATTGCACTAGTTAATAATATACTCTTAAAGTTAACAAAGATCATTGTTTGAAGGATGGCAGTCTGGATAACAAGCTGGTTTGGATGCTATGTTTGTAGCAAGTTGTTTTCTGAAACTGTAGTGACGAGACAACGTATCTGAATGTTTAAATTGTTTAAAATATTTCATGTGTCAACAGACCTAGGTATTATGAAGCAACATGTCTTGAGTCTGCTTAAATGGAGTGGTCATAGTAGCCCTGAATGAAATAATGAGTATGCTTACATTTCTGAACTGTTTTTACCAGAAATAATTGCAATAAGAGTTGGGTTAAAATTCTGTTTACCTAAGTTCTGCTCTTTTTTATTCATTTAACAAACTTTTTATATTTAAAGTAACAGTATTTTATATAGTTAGAAGACCTTCTGATGCATGTGTTCTTGAAGATCCCCAGGTGGAAAATACCTGCTTTTTTGGTCTATATATTCATGCAAGGGAATTTTTTTTTTTTTTACAGTAATTTTTAAAAATTTTTTTTTAGGCACAGTATAGGCTTTTGAGTTTAACAGCTGCATCTTAAAATAACTGCTGTCTTTCTATACTTCTTCCCATTCCTTCAAAGCTACGGTGTATTGCGCTCAGGTTTTTCAGTTACATATTAAATGCTATGTTCTCATCTACTCTATTAATGGAAAGACCACATCCTGAATTTCACACAGTTTTCTGGGTCACATGAAATGCAGAGGACTCTCTGCTTTTTTTAGTGCTTTTTTTTTTTTTTTTTTTTTTTTAAAGTACTGTTACCAGTGGGGTACCATTGCTTGTATCTGCAAATAGGACGAGTGGGACTTAGACTGAACTGAATTCTTTTTGTTAATGTCTTTGTCTTCCATGAGCAGCAGATTATGAGTCGTTAAAGGGAGAGTCTGAAAATCGCTATTCTAAGAATTACTGCTCCCAATTTTTAGTGTTTTCCCTCTTTTTGCTGTTGTTTTTCACAATTTAAATATCTATGCTTTTCTAGAAAGAACAAGTACTGACAGCAGCAACTTCTGTATTTAATTGAAATCTAGCATTCATTTTATGTTTGCTTTCCTCAGGTGACAGATTTCATTCATGGCTGCTTTGTCAGCCACAGAGAGGGACAGCCGTTCTTCCAGAGCAGGCTAGGAAAATACTTTTATTATGAGTAAGCCCCTTTTACAAAAATGAATTTGAGTATATGTGGCCTTACAACAGGGCAGAACAGTCAGAGTTATGCTATTTATGTATTTGTCACGTGAGGATCGACGCCCACAGGAAAGTATATGATGCAGTGTGTTAACCTCTTTACGTTTCCGTAGTGTGTATGTGTATCTTACGGTGTGGGTACAAAGAAGTCACAGGACCATGCTTACGTGAAGAAGATTCGTGCTCTGGTTGTCCAGGGTGATTTTGTTTTGATGTTAGGTCTTGATTGCATGTTGAAGTACGTGGTCTTTGCACCCTCTTGACGTACATGAACAAGCTCACTCTTGGGTTTCTTGTTCAGTTATTAGCATATTTACCTGTGTGACCCCTTCCGTAATGTTCTCTTTTCCCAGGCATCCTTTGCGTGGCTGACCAGTGTCACGGTTTACGTGAGTTGGCGCTGAACTACCACCTGCTGAGTGATGAGCTTCTGCTTGCTTTGTCTTCTGAAAAACATGTCAGGTTAGAACACTTGCGCATTGATGTTGTCAGTGAGAATCCTGGACAGACTCAGTTCCACACGATTCAGAAGAGCAGCTGGGACGCTTTCATCAAGCATTCTCCTAAAGTAAATTTAGTAATGTACTTTTTCTTGTACGAAGAAGAGTTTGACCCGTTCTTTCGTTACGAAATACCTGTCACTCACCTTTACTTTGGAAGATCGGTGAGCAAAGACGTACTCGGCCGCGTTGGGATGACGTGTCCTCGGCTCGTTGAACTGGTGGTGTGCGCCAATGGATTACGGCCACTGGATGAGGAGCTGATCCGTATTGCAGAACGCTGCAAGTACCTGTCAGCTGTTGGCCTAGGAGAGTGCGAAGTCTCTTGCAGTGCCTTCGTTGAGTTTGTGAAGATGTGTGGCGGTCGTCTCTCTCAGCTTTCTATTATGGAGGAAGTTTTGATTCCTGATCAGAAATACAGCTTGGAGCAGATTCACTGGGAAGTTTCAAAGCATCTCGGTAGAGTCTGGTTCCCTGACATGATGCCCACATGGTAAAGTCCTTAAAGGACTTCAGGGCGGATGGAATAGCACCTTAAACCCAAGCTTACCATATTGCAATTTACTGTATAAGCTTATTTAATACTGTAGTTTTTACTGGAAGTTACTTCATCATTTGACTAGAAAAATAATTTTTCATTCAAAAAATGATTTATGAAATCCACATTCAAAAATAGAAACCATGGATAGCTCCAAAACCCGTTTTCATCCCAACAAAAATCTGTTTTCTGTCTTAGATTTGTTCTTTTTCATTGACAGTGACCTCAGACTTTTATGGAAATAAAAAATGTATTTAAAATACTAAAATGTACCTGAAAAATATCAGTCTTAATGTGCTGTCCTTCTTTGATTTAGATAATAGTATTGAACATGATCAGATTTGATCTTAAACAAACAAAACCCCACTGAAATTGCATGCTTCTGTTGCAGACCATAGCATTTCTAAATCCAGTCACCTAGATGACAAGATTTAAGATTATAAGGAGTATTTAGTGGGCTGTGAAATATACACGTTCTTTTATATAAAAGTCATAAAAGGCAAGAGCAATACACAATAATGTAGTTTAGATAATTAAAATACTAAGTTTGCTACCTTACTCAACAGATTATTAGATCCATCTAAAATGTATTTAGGGCGCAAACAAATAGCGCGAGCTACAAAAAGCGGTGTGGGTTTTTTCCCCTCTATGCATTTTAATGTAGTTTGCTTATGGGGTCTCAGATCTGTGTCTAAACCTGTTTTAAGGTATTTTACGTCTAGCTCAGGAAGCGAAAGCGTCCTGGGGAAAAATGTAGATACATTGTATTTAAAAACACATTGGAGGTAATGAGCTTTTCTTGCACGTTAACTGGTTTTGCAGCACACGGTTAGATGGAATCATGTATAGTTTATTAAACGAACCCAGCAGTGTTAAATGCGGTGACGTGGATGTGAACAGCGTGAGACAAGAAAGTTAAAATCTGAGTGGTGACCAGGAACTTTTTAACAAAATCTCAGACCTTTCAGCTGCTTTCAGTTTGAGAGAAATGATGTTGTAACAGTTGCTTAAGCTGTATAAACTGATTGTATACTGTAAAATCTGTTTCAGAAATGTTTATGTATAAAGTGAATGTTTGATAGATGATCATTTTGTATACCTTTAATTCAGCTAGTTTGATCGTTTCATAATATTTAAAAACCTAAAAGCAGTAAACTTGTGTCGGAGTAGTAGAGCAATAGGCAAAAATTTGACTATTTGGTAAATCGATTTTATTAAAGAAAGTTTTTTAGTCTGTAAGTGGTGTAGGCAACGTTATTGCCTGTGATCTGGATGTGGCTTGTGACCTCATTTCTTACTGCCAACACTTGCATTATTTTCTCTTTTACATCATTGATTGGTAACACTAAAGTATTGACCTGACTGCTGAATGTGTGTGAAAGGTGCAGTCAGCCGCCGGCAAGGCAGAGCCGCTCCAGCTCCTGGCTTCTCCTCGTTTGGGCTGTACAGCTAGGTCTGGTAATAAGTAGATTTTCTTCATTTCTGATTTCAGTACTGTTTATCCAGATGTATAGTTCAAGTGTAATACACTGATGAGCATATTTAAGTTCATAACTATATTTTGAGCAAACATTGCTCGGCAGACTGGACAGCCTTTACAGGGGAGTTGTATGTTTCTGTAAAGCTTTCATTTAAAAATTGCATTTTATGAAATACGCGGGTTTTGTATTAGAATTTGTTAAATTAATGAAATACTATAATTTGCTTTTACTTGTATAAAAGGTGTCAATATATTTAGTCTGTAAAAGTAAGCAAGCTCAGTGGTTTTTTTGTATTCTGACTCTGGGAGTTGCCTGCGTGATAAAGGTGGAGTAACAGTACTAATCTGGGGAAGAGGACGTGTTTTCACTAAATTACCGTGCGAAGTAATCTCATTAGTAAGGCGGCTAAAACCTCTTTGGCCCGTGACTGCTGGTGTCCTGACGTTGGCAGGGTTAAGCTGGTCTGTTGCTTGCTGCTGCAGGAGTGGGGATAACTGAAAGGCAAGACACAACCTAAACACGCGAGTTCCCTCGCTTCTGGAATTCACGTCCTTGAAACCCGGCGTTCCGCTTCTCACAGAGAGCGCTCCGTCGGATCCCGAGGCGGGGAACACGTTAGCAGTTGACGGCTTTATGCTTAGTTGGGGGGGGAACAGTTACTTTGGTCTCCGTCTTCTTGCACAGACTAAAAAAAGTCCTTCGTAGGTGCGACACAGTACCATAACGGTTACCAGAATGTCCAAGGGTAAGAAAGCCACTTGAAAGCAATTGTCTCTCTTCCACTGAAGGTTGGCAGTTTTTATACATCAAACCAATGGCAGCGTCCTTACCTCAAATAATCCAGCTGTAACACAAACTGCCCAGGCAAGCCTATATTCTAAGCAGCTTCAGGAAAAGCTACAACCTTCCTTTTTAGCAAATCTTGTGTAATTCTTACTTTGCCTTCTACACACGTTGGAAAAAAAGAATAATTAAAAAAAATTTTAAAAATCCCTGACAGGAGTAGCAACAAGAGTACCACAGACTGTCATGAAGTTCACTACAAATGCAAACGCTGGCGTCTTACGGCCGTATAGTATCATTTTCCCCCCAGAGTTCACCTTCCTTTCCTGTTGTTTTCAGAAGATAATCCAGCATTGCCTTGGTTGGCCAGTTCTGGGTAGGAGTTGTTAACGTGCGCAGTGGCAAATCTTCCCTCTGAACGCAAGTGCTCCATCACTTCAGGGTTTGGGTATAAAATCACTCGAAAGCTGTTGGTACCAAACAGCTGGGGGAATCCTGGCCAGTTACACTGGCTTACCATGAGATGTATCAAAAGTGAAAGGGTGAGTAATTTAAGAGCAGCTGCTTACATTAACTTTGTAGTTTCCTGTCATTTACGTAAAACTAAAAACCTGTGCGTTTCAGTGGTTTTTTTAGGGATTTTTAGTCAGAAACTTTTGCTAACACTCTGCAGACTGATCTAACCATGTGGGTATAAATCAGCTATATCTATTCTAATTATTGTTAAAGTTTGATGTGCGCCAAATTAACTTCCTGTGAATTTAAAGCAGGAGTCAACTGGGCCTCTTTATATTTGGAGTAGGCCTGACTAAAACCTAAACTTTACTTCAGAGAGATCAGTCTTCAGCTCTGGCCGGTCTAATTGGTGGCAGACAGAATTGTAAAGCCAAGTGCTGCTGCTGTATGTAAGACTAGAGCGGTGATTTAATGTGGAAATTTGTGAAATCTTTAAGGGACTCTGAACTTCAGTGCCTGTAGTTCAGACTACAAACTGTAAATTAAATTTTCCCAAAATACAGGTGCTGTAGAAACAAGCTCCTTGGAGATATGATTGAAGTTTAATAGTATCAAAACTAGGACAGTGAACCGCAATTAACCTTAGATACTCCACGTGCCCATCTGTTCATGCTTTTTGTTAGGTTTTTCTTGCAGGATCGCATCCATTGCTGGCTGTTGTAGTTCATGTGCTTTGACACAGAGATCATGGTGTGCTTTCTCTCCTGTCTTCCATCTGTGCTTTAAGCATGGCATGACACAGGAGAGGATTCTTTCCATTCTGGCTGTTTTTGCTAGACTGAACATACGATGTTCTCTGGATGGCTGGTCAGGTCTGTTTTCACTATCTAATATTGCTAATTTGCGATCAGCAGCTGATGGTGGGGTTTTTTTATGCTTCAGACTTACAAACTTAGACTGCATTGTAAGCAGAAGAGCGGAAGCCTGCTCTGCTTTTCAAGGTATTCCCTGGTTGTGGTGACTTCAAAACCAGAAGAACCTCAGTGACGGCATCCCCAGTTACGGTACTGAAGGCAGCAGCTCTCCTAATCCAGAACATCTGGGAGTGGGTTTGTGAGGGGGAAGGCAGAATGCGTTTGCACGGGCTGTTTTCATTGCATGGTCCTTTGGGGGACGGGAGCGGCATGCTGTATTTGACCTTGGTGTATGACAAGCCAGGAGCGGCCTGGCTTGAGAACTCTCCTGGAGTGAAGCGTGGGTTACAGCCCCGAGCAGCTCAGTGGCATGAAAATTAAGCAGCTTTGCACAAGACCTCTGTGCAGACTTGGAAATTTTTGTATTACAGAATGATAAAGAATGAGCACCTCTCCTACGAGGCCAGGCTGAGAGAGTTGGGGTTGTTCAGCCTGGAGAGGAGAAGGCTGCGAGGAGACCTTATTGCGGCCTTCCAATACTTAAAGGGGGCCTACAGGAAAGATGGGGAGAATCTTTTTAGCAAGGCCTGTTGTGATGGGACAAGGGGTAATGGTTTTGAACTAAAGGAGTACACGTTTAGACTAGACATAAGAAAGAAATTTTTTACAATGAGGGCGGTGAAGCACTGGAACAGGTTGCCCAGAGAGGTGGTAGAGGCCCCATCCCTGGCAACATTCAAGGTGAGGTTGGACGGGGCTCTGAGCAACCTGATCTGGTTAAAGCTGTCCCTGCTCACTGCAGGGGGGCTGGGCTAGATGGCCTCTAAAGGTCCCTTCCAACCCAAAGCATTCTATGATCGTGTATTTTTACCCTTAACTGCAACGCGCACCAAAGCAGGGAGCAGAACCAAGCACAGTCTGAAGTGACCGGTAACTCCCGTATCTGAAGCACGAGTGGTGACTCCGTGAGGCACTGGAGACAGGTCAAAGAGAAAGCAGGCGCCTGTCCTCGAGCCCGGCAGCTAGGACAGCCCCTGGTTCCTGCCCTCAGGCAAGCGCTAACACCACCTGGTTGCAGCGAGATGTTAGGTGTGAGCCTGTTATTTCTGCTCCCCTGTGTGACTTGCAGCAGGAAGGCATCCACCTCAAATGCCTGAGATAAACAGGGGGGGGTTCAGGCACAAACAACAGGATCGGCAGGTGTACGGAAGCTGTTAGATATCACAAACGCTTACTTTTTAAGTGACAAAAGTGTCATCTTTATGGATCTATTCTGGGCTTGTCTAAACTTCACAGAAGTAGCCTATGCATCACCTCGGTGTTATTTTGGATCTAACCCTATAGGCCTAACTCAAGGATTCTGGATTCTGCCTATAAGAGAGCACTGCACTCATTAACTTCCAACTAAACGCTAGAGAAACTATTTCAGTGCAATAATTAGTCAACTTCAACAACTGCACCTCTTCCAGAATTGCAGTTTGCGCTGGTGGACTTTATTTCCACCTGGCTGTGCATTCAGTCTGAACAGTTGGCTTTTAAGGTTCTGAACAAAAGCTCCCAAACTGAGGGAAGCAAAGAAAGCAAGGGCCTCTCCCTCTCTCTCCCCCCAAAACTTGTGCCCAGAAGGAATAAATACCGGACTCAGAAGGGACTCCTGTATGTTTTTTTTAAAAAACAAACAAACAAAAAAAGGGCAGCTCCTATGCTGATAATCAGTAAATACCTTTAAACTGAGGATAGAGTTCCTCTTTCTTCCAAAGTGTGAAACAGACGTGCATGCTCACATGGCTGCATAAAGGAATTGCCAAGTGATTGTCAGTGTGACCTGTGACTGAACACACGCACAGATTCTGTCTCAATCCCTTTCTGCTTCTGCCTTGACAAATAACTCTCCAGTTGTCTTTATCTTTTTTTGTTGCCAGGAATTTACTGTCCTTTAACTTTCAACTAACGCATGCTAGGATGTAACTGTTTCCCCTTGAAGCAACTCCCTGTACCGTCCAGAGTATTGGGATTAGAGTAAAACATGCTAAATTAAGCAGGTTATACAGATGAAATAGGAAAAATAAGAAGGGCTGTTATTTAGGTACAAAAAGCCCAGGATATTATAAACTTGTACTGATAGAACCATTAAGTTACATTTGACCGCGGACATGGAAAGTGATTACTACTTTCATACAGACACCCACTATTTTTTAATCAAGTTCTTCAATAATCAGGAAGGTTTTACCTCTGCAACCAGTCAGCTGTGTCAAGGTGGTGTATAATCTCTCTAGATGTTACTGGTCCACAAACACCTCTCTTTTTGATTGACAGGAGCTGCACAGGCAGCTTTGACATGTGCGATTCAGCTACCGTTACCTGTGTATTTCAGGATTTGGCACTTCCAGTTCTATAAGGCTCTTCCATGCATCACAAAATACTTGCACCTATTTGGGAAAAACGCTAAGGCCCCCTAGGTCCCATATGAAGCCAAGGAAGTACCATACAGTGAATGAACAGTGCTGCCAGGCTCTGAAAGTTGGCCCTAGCTGCATCAATGCTACAAGCTTTTTAGCAAACGCTAGAGAAGAAGCTTTGGGGGCTTCTCCTGGCTCGGTTCCATGATCCTGTTTCTCCTTCAGAGCTTCGGACACTGGTTTTGAGGTTGGGGCTTTTTCCCAAGAAGATAAATATGGGTTCAACAATGTTGAGGGTTTCAAAGTCATAAAAACATGCATCAACAAGAATGGACCTTCTGCAGACAGGCTTGCTGCACCCCTGGATTACCTTCTTGGTGGGTCATCTAAAGAGTCTGAAGCTCAGCTGGTTAAAGCAAGGGCTTGTGACTTCGGCTGCAAACAGTTAAGTCTTTCGAGTTGAGGTAGAAGGTGAAGTTTCATATAACAGTGGAACTAATCAGCGGCTTTCCCCTATAGAACAGAGGTGCTCTCATGCTCATCCCGTTACATGATAATGCAATTCAAGTACTTAATTTTAGTGACTTTTTAATACAAGGTTAATTTTCTGCCATTCTTAAGATTTGAAGCAAATCACTGTATACTCCCCTCTTTGGCTGCAGCGGGCTACTAACTTGGCTCAAGCCAAATGACACCACAGAGCGGGGTTCCTGCGTTACTAAGTGCTTAGCCATGATGCAGTAATAACCTCTGCAGGAGTGCAATTCATTCTGCAAATAGTTTAAAAAACACAAGCGGAGATGATTATGCTACTGCAGGTGTATTTTTTTTGTGTGTAGGCACCTCCCCGGGGTCCCCTTGGCTTTGGTCAGTTGGGTTTAAAGGGAACTAGCTGCCGAGCTGCTCTAGGCGTAGCCTGCAACAGGACTCGAGGACACCGCAGCTGGCACAGCACCGCTGCTGCAAGCATCGCTGCCAGTAAGAGGCTGCAAATGCTTTTTACGGGCAAATCTATGACAAGTGCTGATTTTTAACTGCGACTTTGACACTCCACAAACTGCCACTGCTACTTTCATATTAAGGATTCCATGCTTTTTAAAGAACTGTAAAAGGAATATAAGCATGACTTCTATGGAACCGACCTAATTGAAGCCTCAAGTAGACTTTAAGACAGGAGATGGCTAGAACACTGCAGTTATGCATCAAAGCTGACATCAAACCAGGCTGTTTGCCTTGTATCTGTGCTCAAAAACTCACACACAAAACTTAGGAAGAGCCATCTGTATTGTGTTTACGGTGCAGGTGAAGGAAGGAAAGTGGTGACAAGATACCACCCGTGCCATCCTCTAACAGATTCACTGCTGAACACCTACTTCATGAGCCAGAGAACAGTTCACAGGTCCCAGTTGTACAAACCAAAGAAATACAGAAACACCCATCAAAGGCACACGTTGAGGGAACTGGACACGTCTAGGCACTCAGGTTTGTTAGCTCCAACACACGGATTAGCCGAGTTGGTCAGACCAGAAGGTCCCCGTAATGCTTGTGTCCCATCTCTGTTGGTGGCCAGGTGCTATCTGTCACCACATGGCCATGTATGTGGAGAGCGCCTGAGACCGGAGCAGGCGGGCTGCCACCCTCCCGTTCACCCTCTGGCACTGCAGAGTTTAGCCAAGAGGAGCCACATCAGCCTACCTTCAGGCAGCAGGCGTCCACGGCTAGGCAGAAGCTGGCCAAGTCAGAGATGCGTTCATTAATGTATTATGCAGGTAATAAGAAAAAAGGCATAGTCTTTCATGTGGCCGAGCAAAGCCTTCCCAACCCAACTTTTACAATTAGCAGTGAAACATAACAGCACTTTATAGCGCTCCAAAATCCTTAAGGATATTCTGGCATAAGGGCAAGTTTGGTTCTTCACTAAACAGTTATGCACCAAAGGGTGTTTTGTTTCCAATAGGTAAAGGGACCTCTTCATAAATTATTTTGAGATAAGGGAACTTCATAGGTAAAAACCAGTATTCCAAGTTGTAGAAGAGGTAAAACTGATGATTCAAGATGACACAATCGATTATTTTTAAAAGATCCACAAAAAACTCTCCAACTGTCCGATGAGGTTTGAATGGATAGTAGAAGTCTCTTATAGCTGCTGCCAATGTCTTGTTTCCTAGAGGTCCAAAAATAGATGTTTCATTTCCCAAATAAATAGGTTCTCCACTGAATAAAATTATGCTGGTATAGTTTGTTTGTATCTTCTTAAATACGGCTCCTAAGTCAGCTAGCTTCTGGTACATTCTCAGTATAAATTTAGAGCATTCGTAAGAGTCAAACCATACTATTGATGGTTTGTCAGGACTTGCTTGAACTGTCCAGGTCTCATAGTAAATGCCAGTCTCATTGTCATATTTTACCCATTTTGCCATTTCATTAAACATGGTTCCTGTAAAAGATTAAAATAAACATGACAGACACAGGGTAACAAATACGTGACTCAAAATATTTTCCATCTATCCCAAGGTTCACCTCCCTTCCCTGCAAAAGTTTACCTACAACATTACCTAGCCATACGAAGATACAAGGCTTTGGCTGGAGGGAGAAGCGATACCCCACTGAACAAACTATATTTACATGTAAGTTATTTAAACTGCAATTCTTTTTTCAGCCCCACTTCCTATTACTATGCCAGAACATCCAAACGTCAGAGAACCATGACACCTCGCATTTTGTTTTATCCATGTAGACAAACAAGGTAGGTAGTACAATCTGCAAGAGATGCTGGCAAAGTGCTCACCAGTGCAACAGGCGTTTCTGCACTTGCTCAAGTTTTAACTAAATTCAGCAACTCAGGGCAGAAGTTTTCAAGTCTCTCCACAAAAGAAGTCTATGTAACCTTAGACTGAGACACCCTGCTGTTTTAGCAGCTCCTCAGCCAGCAAAGCTGAACTAAGCCAAACGATATGAGTGGGGTGTGAAGACCAGTAAACTTAAGGACCTTGTGGATTTTTTTTTTTCAGTTAGAATACTTGTTTGGAGTGTTTTGGTGAATGAGGAATTTGGAATGAGGAAGACATCTTTAACCCAGCTCATCTCTCCAGGAGCAGGTTACATGTGATGCATCTGCCTCCCCAAAATAGAGCTGAAGCACATGGCTAATCTTCCTTCTTTTGGTTTTTTTTCCCCATAGTCCTAGCACTGCACCTCAGCCTAGCCCTTCTCACCCTCTCTTTCCTCAGTCACAGCACAGGGTACAACCGTCTATGACTCGGATCCGTCTAGCACCTCACATTCATAGCACGGCCAAATTTTGCAGATTCTTCTTGTGCAATACATCAGAAGACACTGCCAGACGCCAGCTTGCAATTGTGACAGTGTTCCAAGCCATGATGTCTCTTTAGCTGCAAGTGTCACTGCTGTGGGTACAGTAACTCTGCTTGGGCGCTGCTGAAAGACAGGCAAAACTGTTGCAAGCCAAGAGACTGGCAGCAGTTGCCTCACAGTTCAGGGGTGGCAGACATCAGACAGAACTGTGTCACGAACACCGCCCTGCGCACAACAACCAGCCCCTCACATTAAATCTGAATTCACTGCAATGTTGCATCATCAAGACCAATGAAGAGCACTGCATGCCACACATCTCCCTCCAAAACAAGCTGCAAAGGTCAGACTGCTGGGTCTACTCTTCATCAGAGTAAACACATCTCACGTTTACCCTAAGGGGAGGCACGTGTGCAAGCTACTACCTCAGAGTAACTAAAGCTCTGCACATTCACCTCCTAGGCTACCCCATTGTAACTGTTCTTCACTCCCCACTTAAAAGCTTTTGGGCTCCACCGTAAACATTAACAATTGTTCTGTTCAGTCAAAGTGTTGGATACTTTCTTTTTTAGTTACCCATGACTTGGTTTAATAAAACAGCAAGTCATTAAATCTGTATCAAGAACTGCACTTACTATACACCGTAGACAGGCTTGAAGCTCCCCTTTATCTTCTCTAATTCCTACCAGATTAGCTTCCTAGTGCGTATTCTGTAAGGCATGTTATTGAAAAGGATTTGTCTCTCCTAACAAGACCAAGATGGACTTAATATGAAATTCTGGCCTTTACGTCTTAAATTAAACAAAAATATTACAGGTTAATGCATGGGTCCATGATAATCTGCTAGAAGATGCCTAGACAGTAAAAAAAAAAAAAAAAAAAAATCAGACTTGGGATATTCCTGCCCTATTTCCACAAAAGAAACACACCCCTAAGTAACATTAACCTGGCTGATGGGCTTTAAAAGAGAAATGAGATTGCTTCAATGTGGTCTCTGACCCTGCTGACAAACAGCTCCATAGGATCCCGCAAGGGCAAAGCTGTTTCATACATTAAAGCTCTCTCCCACGAAATGGGATGTGTTTTGCCTGCTCTCTGAAGGAAGTGAGTTCAGCTCATGATGCTGTCCATCTGTGCTTGCATCCATTCACCCTCTTCCTTGGTAACTTTCAGATTCCTAGTCAAATTCACATAATTCAAAACTCTGAAGAGATGCTACCTTCCTAAAAGTTTCAAGGAAACAGGAAGCAAGGGAGACAAGGAGGACCGTAATGATGCCTCCACAAGGCACCAGCGTAACCTCACCTTTCTTAGGCTTCAAATAATCCACACAGGCAGGAAGCATTACAAGTTCCACAACCGTATGAAAATATTTAACTTGGTATTCATACAAAAGAATCCAACCGTATCACGCATCAAAGACTTCAACCATGAGCTAGAAACCCACAGGAAAGCAGCTCCACTTACTTCATTGCTGAAAGAACAGCCTAGAATTTCTTAGCAGCACTGGATAGATTACCTAGAGACTGAGTCCAGCAAAGCTGCTAAAGGTGGAAGCGGGTAAACACAAAGCACCACATCACACTAGCTGTAATGTAACGCTCCACTGTGCTTTGTATCCCATGCTCACTTCAGAGGGTAAGTGGGTTTTGGTCACACAAAATGCAACTCCCTCAGGGGACTTTGTTCGTAAGTCATTCACTGTATTACAACAGTAGTCAAACAGATTTATTTAAGTGCCATTTTTATTTTAGAATTTCAGTGTTCAGTATATACCAGGAAGCTATTCTGGTGATCATCCATGTATTTAGAGGTATAAATCCTGGTTTTCTTCTATGACATATGACAGAGACCTATTACTGGGGACATCTGCACAGTTTTTATGACACATAATGGGGGAGATGGAAATAGAGATTAATATTTTTTATCTTTTTGAGACTATTTCTAAATACACCTTATTTGTTTGCTCAGTCACGTACACATTTTCACCGTTTTTTCCTATTTCAGCAGTCATCTGCCCCCTCACAATAGAAAGCTTTGTTTTGGTGCAGCCATGTGAAAAGAGTCCATAATGGTTCTGTATAAGCTGTTTTGCTATTTTTACACTCAAGAGACTCAAGTGTTTTTGTACAGCAACACCAAATGACTCATTTAACAACTCTTCAGTGTGCGTTGTTCAAAACGCAGCAGCCTCATATTGCTTTCTGTATTAAAGAAAGCGCAAAGATAATATTTCAGTTTGAAATTAGCATCAGTGACTAACATTGCAAATAACCTACAAACCGTAAATTAAAAGATACTGCTTTACATGAAGACAAGGCTGACTCTATACTTTATGATATCGGCACCATCCAAAGCATCTGAAATCTACCTGATATTGTGGTCACGAGAACTAAAGTTCCATTTTCCTTCCAGTGTGCATCATCTATTCCTTCATAAAAGCAGGCAGCTCCCTGGTTACACCAGAACGGTGCGTCCATGCCAGGCCGGAGATGTGGAAATGTGCAGTTCCCAAGCTGGAAGAGCTCATACCACTCCATTGTGTAGTTTTTGCCCGTTAGAGAGCTCTTGAAACCCACAGCATCATGCATAATTTTCTGGAAAAGAGGGGAAAAAAAAAAAAAAAAAGCCCCAAAAGCCAAAATTTTAACATAAAACCAACTTCAGCTTGACCTGTACAGAAGATAAGATGCTTGGGAGCTCTTGTGTAACAGGGTGAGAAGAGGGGAAAGGGTTCCTGTAACACCTTGGATTCAGTAGCATCGATGCACAACATACTAGATTGTATCACGCACATACTTTTATCACAGAGTCACACTGTCTCAGTGCTTGTCTATCCATCCATTGTAAATTCTGTTATTTGGAGGCAGATACTCAGTGGGAGCTCATCATCAAAATGCAAGCTTACTTTTGAATCCTTAATCTCACAGGGGTATCAAAGAAATAAAGAGCAGAACCGAGTTACCAAAACCACGTCTTTGTAATGAAAGCCACAAACAGAACAAGATAAGTATTTATTTTAAAACCTGTACAATAAATACATAAATTCAACCTGACTTTAACAACTAAGATAATGATATTTGAAGCTACTTCCATTTTTGACTATGCGTGCTTGGTTTTGATGTTGCTATTTCATGTTCACTAGTATTTCTTTATTCATTAGGGATCATGCTTTGAAGCTTAATTATGCTACTGCTATAGCTATAAATATCGCTAAAGTTGAGATTCTTTCATATTTGCATGACTCCATAAACTGAGACTTTAATTCAATACTGATCATAACACCCAAGAAAGACTGTAAAAGCAACCAATTGTTCTGACCAGCTAGCTGTCCACTCCTGACAGATATCCATGTTCATGCAAATACATGTTTTTAACAACAGAAAAGTTAATACACTAAGCAAGCATTTCATCTGACATAAGGGAACAAATAAATGTATTTTCCTGATGCAGTGCTAGCACAGAAAAAAAGAAGACACCCCAAATGTAGTGGTGTGTGTATACAAAACACTCCCAATATGCAGCTCTGTGGGGGAACACATTCAAACCCACCAACAGTTCCGGTCACGCTCTTTTCTTTAGCTGAGCTAAATTCTGTAACTTTTCTTTGAAACTTAGTGCTCTTTGGGTATCTCTCCTATAGATAGCCTAGCTTGTGCGCTCCAATACTCTTCCATACAAACATATCCCAACCTTACAGCTCCCATTCTTGACACCTGCTGTTGAATTCAGCTGAATTTGTCACTATAACTTTGTTAAACAAAAACATCGCCTTACCAAATGTCCTAGTAGGTCCCCATATTTGAACTCCCATACTGGAGCCTGTAATCGATACACTTCAATGACATCCTCTTCTTTCATAACTGGAATGGCAGAGCCAGTGGGACAGAAAGTGTAACGAGCTTGGCAGTAAGGATCAGTTTTTGGACGGTAATCAAAGCGCCTGTGTTGAGAAAGAGAAATACACAGAATAAGCACAGCCTCACAGCTGGAGCAACTGTCTCGTGGCTTCCTAAGGGCTTAAGTGGGAAAGCTCAAGTGTGCCGCCGCCGCCACCCCTGAAGACAGATTCTCTAATCCAGACGCTACAACACTGGGAGTACACAGGTTCGTAAGGCTGCCGAGGTGTACGTCTGCAGAAACAGGACTTAAGATTTGTGATTGCAACTCAGGTTGTACACAGTGCTGACAGCTAAGGAGTAGGCATGATGCAGGTTACAAAGGGTGACTTCTCACAAAATCAGAGACACGTAGATGCCAAGTACAGGATGGTTTGAGATCTGCCTCAAAAATGTTCTCCTAACAATTTGTCTACACAGGGATTGACCAGTTTGCTCTGGGAAACTATTCTATAATAATAGCTCCCCAGATGGAGCTATTTTTACTCTAGAGTATTGCCAATATCAGAAAGAAATATTCTATTTCTCTATGATAATTTAGACAAAGAGGCCTAAGAACTTACGATCACTGTTTCCATTCATTATTCCTATTAAACCTCAAAAACTGAAGACCAAATCTGCTTACGTACCACACTATATACAAACAGCAAAAAAAAAAACTTTCAGACAAGTCTTCCTTTCCCAATTTCCTTCAAATTCACTCACTGTATTTCACTTAAAACAAGGTTCCTATATTCCTGTTACCAAGACAGACTGGCGTACACAGCTTGCCCAGAGCACAGCCTGAGAGTCTAACACACTCAGTTGCCCAGGGCTACTGAATGGCACAAATACCCCAGCCATGAGACGACTCAAGGACATGGGATTTCCCGAGCCATCGTAAGGCCAGTAGCCCTGCTGAGACACCACTGGTTTTCCCTGTTGACTTCCTTCTCCAAGCTTGCTGGGTATTTCAGCATGTCTGCCTTTATTTTGACCAGGGGGGAGGAAAAAAAAAAAAAAAAAAAAAAGAAAAAAGAAAAAAGAGTATGGCTGGAAAAAGAACACACAGTTTGAAAACAAAAGACGCCAGCCACACATTTAAGTCCTGTTTCTAAATTGCACACCTTAAATTTCCCCTCCCACTGCACCCTACATGTGACAAGATGGCAACAAGCATGTTAAGAAACTTTAAAATACCACTTGGCTAAGTGTCTCACACTGGCAGGCTTGTACTCTTGATTTTGACCATCCCGAGACCCACCCAGCCTTGCAACTAGTGAACTTGCTGGAAAACCCCAACGACTCGTGACAGCAAGATCGGCTCCTTTAGGCATCACGCGATACAAATTTAACTATTAGGAACTACGCAACAGGCTTTTGAAACTTTAGGCGTGCGTTAGATAGCAGTTAAATCGATAAATGCAGCATTCCGCTGTCCCCAACAGCGCCGGGCCTTCTTCGGGAGCTAAGCCAGCTCTGGAGCAGCGAACAGGATTTCGAACCACTTCGTTTATCGTCATCAGAAGCATGACGTAAAGTTACATGTGAAAAATAAAATACATCGTTGCCCGACTTCCTCATCGCCACTTTTTGCTACAAACAGGAGTTAAAGGAGCATCTTTAAAGCAAAGGTAGTCATTCCCAGGGCAGCAATCCCGGTGCGGACATCGCAGGAGCGCAGCTCTAGGCCAGGGAGGGGACACCCATCCCCTCACACTTGTGAGCTAAAGACACCGAACAAAAAACCCCCGTGATTACAAAGGAGAGGCTGTTCACGGGCGTTTCGGTCTAACAACTCAACGAACAAAACAAACGGAAAGCTGACGGGCCTTGGAGGAGGAGGAGGAGGAGGAGGAGGAGGCGGCGGCGGGCGGTGAGGCGCGG